ATATATATATATATATATATGAAGATGATGATACTATGAATTAGGGGCACATATTTTTTCATGTAAAAACATCAAAATGAAAATCATATCTGAGATCTATTGAACTGAAACTATGCGCATAAGAATGGACTAATCATGATATAAAAAGACCTTATATCATTAAACTAATCATATCTGTAAATTAGAGACTGCACATTCTCTGCTCTTAGCATCTGTGCTCCGTTAGAAAGAATTGAATTTTATATCAGAATCTCTCTACAACGTACTCTTCAACTAGATATTTTAGAGAGAAAAAAGAGAGAGAGAAAGAGTATATGTATGATATGAGAGATTCAACTATCTCCCTCTCATTCTTTCTAAACCGATAATGATAACTTCATAAGAATGCGTAGTCTTATTATGTCTATGAGACATGAACTAAGCGAAAAATGATATCCGCGATTCGATATACGATTAATTAGAGTGAAGTTAAAAGTTAAACTCACACACATTTCTCATAATTAGGTAATTCGCTCTTGTGTACGTGTACAAAAAAAAAATTAATTAACATAATTTTGTAAGAATTTTCTTAAAACAAATATGAGTAGGTTTAAGCTCTGTAGAATGTAAATCGTGAAATTGCAATAATACAATACATTATTGGCATTATCATGATTTCATGATTTTTCTTAGATATCTTTCATCGCGATTCCTTAGGCTAGTTTAATAGCGATGAAAACATATTGGTGCAAATTCGCACACATATTTTGCGAATAGACAATGGGCTTCATATAAATGTAGATACTTGCCCTAATTGACAAAATACTCGGATCTGTAATACTCTCAATAACATCGTCAACATACATTTCGGCGAGATGATGTCGTTCGAACGGTCGCCCGATAAAAACTCGGGGGAAAGTTGCCGTCCATTATTTCATAAATGTTGTCCGCTTTATCTCGAACGTGTACTCCTTTTTACCGCGATCGCATCGCGCACCTGCGCTGTTAGCGAAATGTCGCGATACAAATGATGAAATTTATCGTTTCTACATAAAAATCGTGACATGCGGATGGTATAGTACTTGTTCATCAGACTGAAACATTTATGTCTGACAATAAGAAAACTTATGGCTCGCAGTATAATAACACGAATATTCATGTGGGAAAATATACAGCCGTTCTGGAAAAACTTTTATTTCTGATGCATCGAACTTTTTTTCTTATGAGTAAACGGAGAATGCGAATTGTTTGAAAAATTTTATCAGAAATATCGTAGAAAGTTTTAGAATCGTCTGATATTTTTAGGCCTAGCTCTTTCGACAATTAAAATATCTTTTCTTTAACAATAATTTTCAAACATCCAGTGTAATATTGGAGAATTCCTTATACAAGAATAGATTTTAAATACATTGGATGTTGAAAACAAAAAAGAAATTCTATAGCATGAACTATTATTTTTACTCAAATATATTTTGGTCCACACATATACACTGTCGCTTGATTCTAATGCTTCAACAGGCGCAAAAGAACTGATGCGCATCAACAGTATGCGCAATACGTGGGCGAAACTGATGTCCAAGTCGATAATTCAAGGATTGTAAATTAAAGAAGAACTGCTGCTCTTCACGGTCGGTTTCCTCTGCTCATTGCAAGATACGATGTCGATTTGGAGATGCATGATTTTCCGTGTTTTGCAATGATAAACAATAATTAACATTCTCTAGTATTTCAGAATATGAACTGATAAGTAACAATGCCGCGATAATTACGAAATGAATTTACTTCCAAAACACAGAAGTTTATAGAGACATCGAAATGAAATATCGCAGAAGCGTCGCGCTCGTCCGTTTCCATTTATAATGAGAAGTTATATAAAAAAAAAAAAAACGTGGTGTGAGAATCTAATTTAGTGTTGTAATATAAGTCACCATAATTTATTTTTGACATAATAATTACATATCGGGTGCGCGCGAACAACTCGACTGTCAATAAAAATAATTCGGAACTGCGTTACAAAAGTAAAATGATCGTTTGATACAACCAAAAGCAAAACGCTTGAAGCGACTATCTAAACGGGACAGGTATTGCATTCGTATGCGATGTCAGTCTCATAATTGGCAGTGAGCATTCTCGGAATATGCTACTGAGGTTCGTCTATAGTGTATTTGTTGTTCCGGTCATTCGAGTATTTTAGTGCGATTCAAATTAGGCGTATTACGATAGTGAGGGTGGCGGGTACCAACAACACCCTCACATATACATACACATATATATGTGTGTGATTGAGAAGTTCTATTCCGCGGTACAAAACGATCGACGCGAATACCTGAACATAGCGTATTGACCGGACTGTCCATTTGCCACGTATCTGGATACTCGCCAGATATATGTGCGATTCGAGCATCTAATACTGAAGTGATATTATGCAAATTTTAAGGCTGTCAGATGTATTTCTAATTTTATTTTTTAATAATAAAAAAAAAAAATTAATTAAACAAGACTGCATGTGTTCAGAAAGGTACCACAAATCGAATATTGTGTAAAAAAAAACCCATACAGAAATCAGAATATATATTATAAAATTATTCCCTAAGTTTTTATTGTACTTTTTAGAAAAAAACGGAATAATTCCAATCGGAATTTATTTCGAGTAATTCCATAATATGTGTTCTGAGTGAAAAAGTATAAAAATTTACAAAATAATAAGATCTAAAATAATAAGAAAAGATAAAGTCTCGGTCGTTGTTTGGTTTTCTATGACTTACATGCAAAAGTAACGTTTCAAAGTATTAACGTTTAAAGATATATCGAGTAGTTACAATTGACGAGTTTATCATGCAACGAGTTTGTCACGAGTTTATACTTCGAGATAAAATCTGTGACCAGCGATCTACAATCAGCGTATTCTGCAAAAATACTTTTCTAGGATAAGTCCGTTATCCTTCCCATCTTTAGAAACTCCGCTCTTGCTCCATTATTAATTTAATTTCATATTCACGTTGATATTCCCTATTAATCGAAAAGTGCGCGATCATACTAGCAAATCCTGTTCTCCTAGTTTCCCTCGTACAAAAGTAAGGAAACCCCCGAGAACGAGAGCACGAAGGAAGGCGAAGAATCCCACATGGCGATGGAGTCATAGTCGCTCGTAATCCGTTTGAAAAACCTGGATCACTCGCTCCGATGTTATCCCGGACGTGGAAGTATCACAAGACCGGTGATATCCGCGACGAATTCGCCTGACAAGTTCGCACGACGAAATGCGAGCGAGAAAGCAGAGGCTTAACTGCTACTTTCGTCGTCGTCGGAGACTCCGCCCGTCGGAAAATTCCTGCGTCATTCCCGATCTTTGCTCAGGTCAGAAGGCAAGTCGCTGCAGCCGGACATCGCCGCTACCGCCGTTGTCGTCGAAGTCGTCGTCGTGGGTGACCTGGAGGACATCCTGGAGGTCACCGGTAAGGACAATCCCGCGCTCATCGCGACGTTCAGCGGTATTGTGATGAACGGCTGGTTCGACTGCGATGAGTTCGCCACCGGTGCTACTGTACCTATAAGGAAACCGCAAGGGAAAATCAAATGAGACGCATCCATTGCAAAGAGAAGAAAAAGTGCTACATTTCCTGCTCGATTCTACCTTCTTTGCGATCCAATCCGCTTTTTCCACTTTCGGCCTATCTACGAACATCATGTTTTTGCAAAATCCGCTCGTTCTACTCGTAGAATCTTCGTAGAATCGAAGTGACAAAAAAAACAACTGATGATATCTATTTATATTCTGACAAGCTTTTCTTTAGTTTTAATTTGATTAGTACAGTTTTTTTTTATGTACATTAGCAATAAATTCGGAAATTGAAATCTCGATGTGCAGCCATAAATAATATAAAGTTTTATCTATTAAATCATCGTTGGTTACAATATTGATCCAATAACAATCAATACATTAACCCGACGTTGAATTATAAATTAGATGATAAATTGGATCCAAGAATGGCAAATAAAATAATAGTTGATAATCACAAATTAGAAATAATATACTAAAAAAAATTTCTGGTTGAAAATGGACGAATAAAATTTCGATAATTAGATATCTAGCTATCTCAATTAAAATTCTAATCGATGTAATAAGAATCTTCCGATTTGTCCATTTTCAACTAGAAATCTTGCTCAGTGTAGGTGTTTTTATAGATCCAATATTCACACATTCAAGTCAGATATTTAAAAAGTACAATCTTAAGATGTGACAAACAGAATCGTATTAACGTATTAAGACATTACTTAAGACGGTTTTTTAAAATAAGTACCAACTATGAATACTAGCCTTATATTATCTTTGCGCGGAAAAATGAAATGTACATTTTTTCTTTTTAATATTGAATTATTTATTGTAATCGCAAAATCGAAAAAGTACGCAAAAAAGATAAAATTAATCTTTCACAAGTAATTAAAAATTTCACAAGTAAGTCGGATGCTTAACAGTATTCGTCATTTTACCGTTGCATTTTACCATCTCTCATGCGTTTCCTCCTCCTCATTATTATTTCCTACACCGTCTCGAAGATAAACGCCGTGCGAGACGCATTATACATTAATCTTCGCACGATCGGCAGCAACGCGAGCGACTTACGTTACGTAAATTTCTTAGTCATAATCTCGCATCCGATACGCAATTGTCATCCGATGTTGCCGCCGGTGATTCAGACGAGGCGGGAAATGCGCGCGAGCGATTTCCGAAGGTACTTAGCCTCCGACGTAAAAATTGTTTCCACGCAAATCAAACCCCTCTGCCCGAGTGCCCTCGTAAGGGCATATTCGCAATGCGTTAAATGCGTACCGTGCGACATATATATTGCGTAAAACAGCCGTACGGCAAACCGTGACTCGCGTTCCTCCGCAGCGCGGCGAAGGAAAGAAACCTACCTCCGTCTTGAGATATTTGCACCGGTTGCCCGTTTTGTCCTATGCCGAGCAAGACCCCTGGACTGGGCGAATAAATGACACTCTGAGGCACCTGGTACATAATCCCTGCAGAGAACGAAGGCACATTTCCTAGGAAATCAAAAAGGAATTGAGCGTGTGAGTGGTTGTAAGCCGCCGGATAATAAATATCTCTCGCGAGGAAACGCGCGCGAGGTGCACGCAATTGCGAGCGCGTACACCTGCGACCTGTTAAAGTCCCGCGCGCGGGTTTGGACATATTTTCAATATTTTGCGTACTTCCGCGCATGCCTCCCCTCCCCCCTCCCCCGATATTCTCGAGTTACGAGATAACGTCGTTTTTTTTTTCCAAACGCGAAGAATCAACATCGACACGTATCCGAGAATGGCGAGATATCGAATGACGTAAAATACAGAGAGAGGCTTCGTGTATATCCCTTATTTGTATCGAAATTGTGAAATGCATCGTTCGACGTTAAAGTTAAACTTGTTTTCTCTCCTCCCCGGTACAGGTGTATATCGTTGAGAAAAACTTAGGAATGACGGCCGAGTCGGGGCTTCAAACCGGACCACCCAAGTGCAAATCTGCGCTCTGATTCACCTATATCTCCTATGAATTATTACATTTCATATGCGTGCCTCTTGTACGATAAATTTTCAAGAGATACAAATTGGGAGCAAAAGAAGTAAATAAAGGAATAATTAAGGAAGAATTACAATCACGCACAAACTAGAAGATCATTTGCCGGGGGTAACATTGGCAATCTTTTCAAGTTGAAGTGCTCGAATATTCGTGAAACATGTGTCGAAAGTTGTTAATAATGATATTTATATCGGAAATTGGAAGAAGCGTTTTTCAACGTTTCTTTTAATTTGCGACATAAATAACAAGCTAAATTTGTTGAAAGATGTACGTTATTAAGTACACACGCATACTTCAGTGTTTAGCATAATCTTTTATCAGATACCATCGATATACGACATTCAGAAATAAAAAGTAAAGTTCTAAAGTCTTTATTTTATTACTTTAATAGCGGTTTTATTAAAACAGTAATATTGTTTTGATTAAAATGTGAAAGTAAATATAATATAATTCAGTAGTTTTCACAATTTTTAAAATATCTTTACATCGCCCCTCACTCGCTTTTTTATGATACATACTTTTAATTTTGTTTCCTTCTTTTTACCTTCTCTAAAACCTTCTTTAATTTTCGCGGTACATCAGTATATCGCAGCATATCGGCTGAAAAACTTTGATCTAAAATAATAGCCACTTCGAATGCTATAAATAGCATCTATTATATACTACTTCATGTTTGATACTCAACAGTTTACCAATCAAGACGCAAATAAAACTCTTGGAAAATACAAGAGTCAGTTGATGTTAATGCAAACATTCCTTTTTTTAAGCATATTCAATACTTGAAAATAAGTAGCATTCTTGTAAGATACTTATTTAGCATAGCATTCCCCTGAATTTTGTCTTGCGTACTCTCTCAATCGCGAATCCATTAATATTTCTACAAAACTATTGCATTAATACTCAGTGCGAGAAGCGTCTGTTAGCCTTCCTTACTGAGAACAACCTTATATAGATATATACGGTATTTACGGCGATTAAAAAAAAAAACGAAAAAAAAAACCCTTGCACGTGTTTTCTACACATATCTCCGAACAAACGTCTAATTAAAGGCGGAGACTCGCGCGGTACACATCCATTCATTTGCCCGATAACGATGAGAACTCTCTCGCACGCGCCTTCGTTATACCAGGGATAAATTCTGCATTCGTCGCCCTCTACTCGTACAGGGACATAATAAGTCATCGGGTCGGGCTATCGTCGAATTCGCGTGGCGACGAACGGGAGCGACGGCCGCGCGGAAAGGAGGGGGGGGGAGGCGGGGGGGAAAGCGCGATCGCGGCGAGATCGGTTAAGCAGCGCGGTAGAATGGCATCCACGCGACGCATTAGCATCGATATTTATGTGTACACCTGCATCCGCGCGAGCGCGCGGTCTTAGCGGTGCGACGCGGACGGAGCGGCTTTCGACCGGATCCTACTTCCCAGTTAGGCAGCACGGTTGCCGTCTAAGTTTGGTCATCGCCGTGCCGCGCGCGACTGCTTGCTTACCCCCTACACGGATAACCCCGTCATCGCTCGCACGCCTTTCGCATTTTAAACGTCCTCTCTCCCTCCCCCGTCTCGTACCACCTCCTCCTCCTCCTCCTCCTCCACCACCACCACCACCACCATTACCTCCCTCCCACCTTTTCTCACGCTTCGTTCCCTCTTTCTCCGTCTCCTCCTCCTCTCGTATCTGTCCGCACCGATGCGTGCATTGTATGCGAATGTTCACCCCGCCCGCTCGCGCGCTTACTTTACGACGCTTACCTCCGTCCGACCAGCTGTTCGTTATCAATGTACGATGAGGTGAAGCGCGACGCGAATGGTATCGACGACAATTAGACTACTACACGATTAGCATACAGACGGCGCGGAGAAGGACGGCTGCCTCGACACGCTGATTTCGCAATCTCGGGTCGTTCTTAATCGCGAGCTTGATAGTTCGACACGAAAACGACTTATGCTTTTAGCAAAGAGTGGAAAGGGGTAATAACCTACCGTTCTATGAAAAGTTTACCCTCCGATCAAGATACGCAGCTTGTGTTTACATACGTTTAGTAATTTCCAGCAATTTGCAAAACGCACGTTTGCATGAGAAGAAAAAAAAATCCATTGCGTGGGAGGCCTATCTTTCCATGTGGAACAGCGAAAGGTATCATGAATAATCGCGGCCGTGAATGACAGAAAATCGACGTAACCGCAGAACTTAATCCAAGTGAACCTTGCGCAAACGCTAATAATCGTGCCCGTGTAGTGACGAATGATATGGTTTACTCTGTAATAACGCGACCGATATTCGAAAGTGGTCCGTTTCTCTTATGGAGCTCGGCAAATCTTGTTGACTCAAGGAAATGCACGAATTAACGAGATCAAATCAAACGTACGAGTACGCTATTCTTAATCTACGTTTCCTTTCCGCGTGTTTAACTTCCAAGGACGCGATAATTTCCTACTATTTTTAAACAAATCTATCGCGATAGTAGCCATGTACTTAAACGTTTGCAATGCTTGACTGTTCGGGAAAAAAAAAAAAGTATAATTTTTCATGACTTCAATGTAAGCTGAACGTGTACATGAAACATCCAAGAGAAACACGAAATTAAATTGGCATCATGAATTAACTGAAAATTGCGCGAAGATGATTTCCTGTAAGGCAGTAGTTTTGGAAGAGTAAAATTTCTAAATAATATTTGTGTAAAGACAGACAAATCAAATTTTAAATATAAATATTTTATAATTATTTTCGAAAACGTTCGATTCTTTACTTAAAATTTTACGATTCTAATATTTTATTTAAAAAATCAATATTTCTAAATTTTATACACAACTTTATACTTTCATAAACATTTTCCTGTCGAAGAGACTGTGTGGACATCCATTTATCTCCATCGAGACTTCAACTTCCTAAATCCTGAGTATCTCTCTTTTGGACGAATAGATGTCTAATTCTGTTCGAATAGCTCGGACAAAGCCAATTAAAAAAAATTCTCGCTCTCGTATACGCGACGAATGTTGTGTGTGTGTGTGTTGTGTGTGCGCGCGCGTGCGTGCGTGCGTGCATTCATAGTCAGATCTTATATTCGAGACCGTCTTAAATACAGTCTTAAGAAGTCACAAATCAATCAGAAGCTGGTATTCATAATTCGGTTCTTATTTCAAGACCGTCTTAAGTAATGTCTTAAGACACTAAGGGTCTCCGCACAATAAAAGGA